TTCTTTTTTCCTTAACATATATTGCATTATTTGAATAACAGTTAATTCTGACAAAAACAGTCATTACTTTGAAAAAGCTTTATCATTGCTTCTTGTCCAATTTGGAGTGTTAATTTGGGGGTTTCAGGCATTCAAGATTTGTCTAGGAGAATGGGGAATGCAGCAATGTATGATCCTGCTGACATGGTTGTTGGTCCTGTAAACATAGATGGTGACAGAGGAGATCCAGAAGGGCTATAAAAGGGAGTTGGACCCCTTTATTTGTTTAAAAAAACTTTTATTTACATTGATTTAAATGGGGGTCAGTAATTAAAATATTCATAAGCTTTGGGGTACAGAAATCTGCCATGCCTGGGGAAGATAAACTTTGGCAAACTATTAAAATAACAGAATGAACGAATATACACATGCAACACACAAATCCTCACACACCCACATACTTACAGAATTCACTTGAGAGAAGGGCAGTTTTTGAAAAGCATGTTTTATATTCGCTACTACATTTCTTATTTATGCAAGGAGATAAACTTGTAAGAAACACATATTAACTTATTTTTTTAAAAGATTTTATTTATTTGACAGATAGAGACACAGTGAGAGACGTAACACAAGCAGGGGGAGTGGGAGAGGGAGAAGCAGGCTTTTCGCTGAGCAGAGAGCCCGATGAGGGGCTCGATCCCAGGACCCTGGGACCATGACCTGGGCTGAAGGCAGACGCTTAATGACTGAGCCTCCCAGGCGCCCCATATATTAACTTATTCTTAATGTTGAATAGGGAATACATTTTTGGTAGAAAGTCATTTAATTTTTATTTTCATCACTTCAAATTCTTTCTCTTTAATGTAGTATCTTAATTTTGAAACATGTAGTAATCTGTGTTGCCCTCAGATGGTGAAAGAAAGAAATGCTGGGAATACACAGAGCAAAGCCCAAGAGGTGATTCTGATCCCCTCAAAATCAAGAAATGACTGATTACTTCCTTCAGCACATCCAAGTGAAACATGAAAATTAGTGTCACTATAGGCTACATATTAACATGATTCAAATGGGAGAGATGAGATGAGCAATCAGCTCAGTATAAATCATTCTTACTTTGTGTGTTCACTTGTTATGGACTTTATGCATTCGTAATCCTAAAGTGGTTTTGATTCAGTCTAGGTGGTTCTGAAGCTCACTTGAAGATTATTCATTGATAGCGATGAGGAGTATGAATTACAGAGAGGCTGAGCCACGGAAGGCTGGGACAGTAGTCAGTCCATACAAGAAAGAGAAGAGCCAGAATTACAACCATGATGGGGGAGATAAAAAAGATGCAGTACCAAGAAAGAAGAGCTGTCTCTAGGCCGCGTCAACGCAGGGAGTCTCCAAGGTACTGCCCCAATCACCTTCATGGGCTCATGAGTTACCTTGATGTGGTGAACTTCCAAGCGTCTCCCTTCAGGTCTGTCCTCCTGCTTAACTGTCAAACTTGTATTTCTGGGCGCTTCTGGATATTTGCTCTTGTACCTCCATACACCGGACTACACTCTCCTGATAATCTGTACATAACCAACCTCACTGTGTTGTTTCCAATCAAAATATATCATTCACCTTGACATCGTTGTCAATTCTACATACCGAAACCCCATTCTTTTTTATTAATAGAGACATATTTTAGTTGTTTGGGGCCTTTTAGTCTATTGAAGGTCCAGAGCAACTGTGAAATAAGTAGACAGCTCCAATGACTACCAGGGAGCTCTGAGTAGTCCAACTATGTCTTTCCTTAGAGAGTCTTGATCCTCACATCAATATATACAGAGGATGCGTGTTTCAGTGACCAAAGTCCTATTAGAAATGGTAAACGAAGGTGAAACTTACGGGGTTTTGGTCCCCTTCACATGTGGAGAAGTAAAAGAACTCTGTCAACAGAAGGATCTTTCTGTAGCAATATAGAGGAGAGAGAAAAAAACCATATATTACTGAGTAAACATTAACAGATTTACATCCTGGTCACTCAGCACAGGATTGACGACAGTTAGGAGAAAAAAATCTCACAGGTCTCATATTGTAGAGCAAAATGGGTCCGTCACTTCTCTTAACTCAGATAGTCTGGGACTACACCTGGTGACAATTACTGGTGTAGCTTGTGAGAGACCACTACGCTAATTCCAAAGGAACCTTTTTACACATTTAGAAATTACTTTTTTTAAAAAGTGTTCTTAAGATTTTCTTTATTTACTTGAGATAGGGAGAGGGAGAGAACATGAGTGGGGAGGGGAAGAGGCAGAGCGATAGGGAGAAGCAGACTCCCTGCTGAGCGAGGAGCTTGACTTGGGGCTTGATGCAGGGACCCTGAGATCATGAGCCTAAGGCAGATGCTTAACCGACTGAACCACCCGGTGGCCCCACTCATCTAGAGATTATTTGGGTTATAACATATTATGTACAGGTTATATCTCCTCAACCTAGGAAATATCTCTACATTGTAAAAATAGGAGACGGGGCTTAATCCCTAGAAAAGTTTCTCTGTTCCGAAGGTAAATGTGAAAACTCAGACACACTATTTCTTCAAGATAAAGTGTTAAGAGGGAGAGAAAATAAGCTTTGCTGTTGCTAAGTGGAGAAAATCATTGCCATTTACCCTTCAACTCCCCCATTAAATTATTGTTACTAACATAGGGGTTTTTTTTAACAGTGTTTTTTTTTTTAATGTTTTATTTATTTATTCATGAGAGTCAGAGAGAGAGAGAGAGAGAGAGAGAGGCAGAGGGAGAAGCAGACTTCCTGCCTAGCAGGGAGCCCGATGCGGGACTCGATCCCAGGACCCTGGGATCATGACCTGAGCCGAAGGCAGATGCTTAACCATCTGAGCCACCCAAGTGCCCTAACATAGGGTTTTCATACTAACATTCATGGCATTTCCCAATGCTCCTCTCTGCACATTTTTTTCTACCCCCTCTCCAAATTTGCTTTATGTAATTGGGTGGATATAAATTAATGACCAAAAACTTAAGCAAGATACATGTAACATTTTACCAGAACCTGTTAATCCTCATTTTTTTCTCAAATTCATCTTTAAGTCATCATGGGGCTCATAAGAAAATTAACCAACATATGGATACTATAGTCTAGTGTCAAATCTTTAAGTATTTATGACATATTGAATTCCCCTACAATGCAATTAGGGGGAACCCTTAAGATATTCGTGTTTTGTACATAGAAAAGTGTTAGAGTCAAATATTCAACTCAATATAAAATAAACAGCTCTGATTTGTTAGGTTGACATTGCTTCTCCTTTTGTTAATGAATGATTCTTAGCTGTAATATCACTGAGCTGAACAATTAAGTCACCTTTGAGTACATAAGGAAAAATAAACACATGCTAAATGGATAAAACATTACAAACTACATCTGTACTAAACCATCTCTGCCTCTAACACTTCAGAAGCTTAGAGATTCAAAGTGCTCTTACATTAACTGCCAGAAAAAAATAAGGGAGAAATTCCCTCTTTGAGATCACAACTATGGTCATGTGGTTATACAGATTCTGCATTTGTGTGAGAAACATGAAATATGTTTATTTTAATTCTCCCTGCTTAGACTAGTCAGTCACCCAGCAGGACTTTCCTTCCAGGAAACAGAGATTGAGATGTGTCTTATATAACTTCAGTAACCTCAGCGCTACAATAATAAGAGATGCAGTCAGTATCCTTTTGCTATGGTCCCAGACTATAAGGGAAGGAGGTCTCAAGAAAGAATGAATCAAAACTGTTACAACTGAGCAACTTTTCTGTTTCACCATAGTGCCACTTTCATTTTACATAAGCATGGTGGCATAATTCAAGCTCAATAAATCAGAAATCTTAACATTTAAAATTTACCTTGACTTTTTTTTTAAGTGATATGGCTTATTTTAATAACAGGAAAATAATGCAAACCAAACAAAAATACAGCTCAGTTAAACTTATATAATTATAAATTTTGATTAGCATATTGTAATTGAAAAAAAAGAAACCATTTACATAAAGGCATACAATTTTGTATAAACAAATAATATCAATATTTATAAACAACATTATGGTTTAGAAAGATATGATAAGAAACCAAAATAAATCAGACATAATAAGATACACAATGGACTATCTAGTGAATGTAGACACATTTTCTTTCTTTTTTTTTTAGGATTTTTTTTTGTATTTACCTTTTTTTTAAAATTTAAATTCAATTAACTAACATACAATGTATTATTTGTTTCAGGGGTACAAGTCTGTGATTCATCAGTCTTATATAGTACCCAGTGCTCATTACAACACATACCCTCCCCAATGTCCATCACCCAATTACCCTATCCCCTTACCCTCTCCCTTCCAGCAACCCTGTTTGTTTCCTATGATTATGAGTCTCGTATGGCTTGTAAAATTGACCTTGACTTTTAATTATTACCATATTAACAACCAAAATAATTAGGTAAAACACATAGGAAAGGGTAATAGTAAACCCCACTTTACTAGAGTGGGCTCTTGACATTAACTCAGTTTTTATTTTATTTATTTATTTATTTTTTAAAGATTTTATTTATTTATTTGAGAGAGAGAATGAGACAGAGAGAGAGAGGATCAGAGGGAGAAGCAGACTCCCCGCCGAGCAGGGAGCCCGATGCGGGACTCGATGCGGGACTCGATCCAGGGACTCCAGGATCATGACCTGAGCCGAAGGCAGTCGC